GGGGGGGGGGGGAGTTGAAAAAAATAAATAAATTAGTTGCCAGTAGCAAAGGTTCTGAAGGTTTGACAGGAGACTGGATCTGGCTTCTCTGAGATGCCTCTCAGCCAGTCGAAGGGCAGGTCAGCTGAGCCGGGTGGCTGCCACCTGCTGTGGGCGGGGCCAGTGCACACACCTGCCTGGCCATGGCCGTGCTGAGTGTCACCTCTGCTTAAAGCGCTTGTGGGTGGGGGATGAAGGGAGGGCTATGTCTGTCTGTGTTCAGGACGGGTTGCTGGGCAGGTAACTGACCTTCTGTGGCCGTGACCTGCAGAGAGCAAATACCTTTTCCAGAGGTTTCCCACGTCACGTTAGGCAGGAGGCCTCCCCTCAGACAATGACCTTACTTATGCCCAGAACAAAGGGAGCCCTAGAGAGGGGGACCTGGCCCAGGCCTGCATCCCCAGTCAGAGTCTGAGATGCTCCTGGATCATGTGGTGGAGACCGCTGCCTCGGGGAGGGAGGTAGCCAAGGCCCAGAGAGAAGGTGAGATTTGATCAAGTCCTAATAGAAGAGTTTGTCTTTGGGGACACATCTGCTTTTCCATTTTTTCATTCAGAAGGTCCTCATCAGACTCAAGAGATGCTATGGGTGTCACCCCCAGTACTCCCTGGCTCACCTTTTAGTTCCCTTGATGCTATGTGCTGTGGGCAGACATTGTCTACCCTAAGGGCTTTCNACCCTAAGAGCTTTCTGGTGCCTGGAAGGTGTCTCAGCCTTCGCTGAACAGCCCAGAAGTCAGGAGCATGAGGCACCCCAGGGCAGCTCTTAACCCCTGAGGGATGAGACTTAGTCCCCCGTGAGGGCCCCGGTGCAACTGAGCCCATTGCCTGTGGCTGTGACCTGCTCATTCAAGTTTTCTGCAGTCTCTCCCCCCTTCACTCTCCCTGCTCCTGGGATCCCCTCCCAAGTGAACCCCTATATTCATGTTTCTGCCAGAGGCTTGACTTTGGGGACCCAGAGGGTTGAGCATGTCAGGTTTCAGCAGGCCCTCCGGTTACTGTTTTGGATGCGCTGTGGCTGAAACAAGTGTGGTTTCTGCTTCCCTCCCAACCCTAGGACATCACCAGCCTGCTGCATACCATCTACGAGGTGGTTGACTCCTCCGTCAACCACTCCCCAACGTCCAGCAAGACGCTGAGGGTGAAGCTCACCGTGGCCCCCGATGGGAGCCAGGGCAAGAAGAGCATCCTTCTCAATCACCCCGGTGAGGGGCTGGGGGTCGTGAGCGCTTTCGCTGGGAGCGACTTTGTGGACGGGTGGGATTGGAGCAGGTCCTTGAAGGAGTGGGGTTTGGAGAGGGAAGGGATTCCAGACGGAAGGCCCGAGTGAGCAAAGCGTGGGGTGGGCATGTGTGTGGCAGGCAGCTATGGCAGGGGCTGCATTGTGATGGGGGGAGCTGAGCAGGACAGGTAGATATGAGACCCCTCTATCTAGTCCTGGCTCTGAGCGAGTGCCCTGCCACAGGGCCATTGGGCGGCCGCTACAGCCAGCTTTCAAGGGCTGGGTGCCAGGCAGCTTGGAAAACTTGGGCAGGTCCAGGAGGCTGGTGGGCATAGCTCACCGGGCTTTTTCTCGGGCGGGACTCAGACCTGCAGAGCTCCAGGCCCAGAGCAGAGACCAAGCCCTCTGAGGAGCTGCGAAGCTGGGAGAAGAAGCAGAGAGCCACCCTCAGGTACAGCGGGCACAGGCGGGGCCGGGCAGCCCAGTGCACCTGAGCACGGTCAAGCACCAGCTGTGTGCCTGCATCTGAGGGATCCTGAGCAGGAGGTTCCCGTCGGTGCTCTCTTTAGGATGCAGTGATTTCTAATGACAGGCTCACAAATTTCAATTTTTTAAAATAACAGTATATGTCTCCATTGCTTCACCCAAACGCTGTAGGCCAGGTGTGTCCAGGATTCAGCGTTTGTTGGTTTGCAGAGGTTCTCACAGTGCATTTCCTTTGTGTTACATGTGGGATCTGGGCAGCCCCTCAGGATTTAGCACGTTGGTGTCTCTTTAGGGAGATGCACGAATGGCCATACTAAGTGACGTAAAGACTATAGCTACCTTCTCGTCGCTTAGGGCAGCTTGGCTGCCAGTGGGTTATGCAAAGCCTTTGTTTTTAGGCTTTGGGGACTTCAGAATTGTGGGTAAGGGGCTTGGGGCTGCAGTTACCTTGCACCTGGTGCTATTTCTTTAATTTCAAGGAGGGAAGGAAGAGAGGGTGGAAGAAAAGAGAGAGACTTTGAAAAGCATCGGGTACACTGTAGTGTAGAGCACAGAGCCGCCTGAGACATGAGGCTATGAGTTCCCACTGTGAAGCTGGAGAGGAAATGTCTGCATTTAGAGAGGCACCGGCATAGGGAACAGAGAAGGGGGCACACAGGGAGCTGACAATTGCAGGTACCCAGGCTGGCTGCAGGAGTGGGGGCTGTGCTGGGGTGAAGGGGGGAGGGA